AGACTTGGGCACCTATATTGTAAATTCACTTGCACTAATTTACTCTGTATAACTATTAAGCACATTTTTTGTAAATAATAGTGGCTTTAGATACAAACAAGTTATCAGGTTATATATATTAAAAGCAGGTGTTAGACCAAGTTATTAAGTGACATTGGTAAAAACAGGTATAAAATCGTTGTCTGGAAACTCACTGAAGTCTCAGCTTTGTAAGGTTTTAGAAGCTGGACTCACCTTGCAACCCACAAAGGAAAGTTCTTGTTGCTAGGTAGTGGCTTTTAGACATCCATATCCTCTAAATCCAAGACTGAAAAGAGGTCTGTCAAAACCCAGCACTCTGTTTACATTGAAGGGTGGGGAATAGCTCTAGCCCACAAATTTAAACTCCACTATTTTCTAGTATTCACCATGCCAGTTGACAAGCACTAATGGACACTCATTTTTTACTTTAATCACACCAATTAGCAAAGCTTCAGAGTCTGGAGGAGTCAAAGGGAACTGAGGTCCTGGAGGAAGCCACTTATAGTGTGAGGTTTTAGAGTAGATCCTAGCAGACTACTCCTTGAGTGTCTGCCCAGTTAGAATGGTTGTGTGCCCTGGGATTTTTGACCTTTTTTTTTTTTTTCTTAAATTCTTTTATTGGTACATTTTAGGTATACATTACATTTACATTTTCCTTGGGTACTTGTACCTGTACATGATGTATCTGTGTTCTTATTTTTTCCCCATTCCCTGTTCTCCCTTCACCCCCACCATCCTTCCCTATTTACAACGACTTTGTTTCCATTTTTTCCTTTTCTCATAGTTTTTCCTTTCCCTTCTTTCCTTTTTCCTTCCCCTCCCACTTCCCCTACTCTTTTGGACCTTTTCTTCCTATTTCAAATTATCAATTATTCATTTTAATCATTTTAATTCTTATTTACACTTTCAGTTTCTCACACCAGAGAAACTATTCAGTATTTACACATGTGTGTCCTATTTATTTCACTTATAGTAGATTAGAAGATGCAGAAACAACTCCAGACATACTCAGCCACCTCATCTTTGACAAAGGAGCCAACCAGCCTCATTGGAGGAAAGATAGCCTGTTTTTGCCCTATTTTAAAGTGAGCGGTAGCCATCATAACCGGCTGTTAGCTGTGCTGAGAAGCCAGTAGGAGGGCAGGTATTATGAACTGTGGTCTTAGGGCTCCACCTGGAGGGTTGGATGAGGCAAGCAAAAGATCTCCCAAACCCCCTCAGCAACCTAGTATTTCTTAGACTTTGGAAAATCACGTTTGGAAATTCTTAGTGTGTTTTCCATTGAGGCAGTTTATTTTAGAAAGGACTTTCCAGTCAATTTAATAAATGTGTGTTTTATCTGAATCTGAAATCAGGTTCACCTTATCTGAGGCATGGAGAAAATTCTAGTCCTTTTCTTCAAAGGGAGCAATAAGCATTGGTTGGTTTAAACAAGACATCACTTAATGATGCTGAGCCCAGACTCCTGCCAAATCTGGACATGTGGGATTTCCAACCCATTTCCACTTACCTGGTGTAGTTACTGGTGGTTTTGATCCCATCAGGCCACCATACATGAAGGAAAATTTTTCTTGCTAAGGGTACAACTCAGTAATTTGCTGTTGTGTTATAATTATTGACTAGCTTTACAAAAGCTCAGGACTTCTGGTGCATGACTGTGAATCAGTAATGCAGAATTATTTATCTCTTTGAGTGCAATGGACCCTCAAGTTATGACCCGCCTGACATACGAACACCTTGGGTTAGGTTAATGGAGGATTCATCTGCTTCTTGTTATCTATAGCCTATACCCAGGTAAACATCCAGATCTCAGCTGTATTGACTTAGTTACAACCAGTCCTTGGGAACTGATCGAGTTCGTAAGTCAAGGGTCCACTGTACTTCTACCCTCATTAGGTGCACACCCACTGCTGTTCCTCGAAGTAGGCAGAATTGAATGCCAGAAAATATTTTCGGAGTTTACAGAAAGAACAGAAGTGGGCCCTATATAACTTGCAGGAAGGGGAGACTTTCCTGTTTATATCTTCCAGGGTCTAGATTTTAAAAATAAGTATTTGAAAGGAATCATTTCAAGTACACTGGGGCCCCAAACTCTTGATTTTTAGCCAGGATACTAGCATTTTTAAAAAGTCAGTTTAACAGATTGGAGATATACTGTTTATGTATACATTATGGTAATTCAGTACATGTTTGTAATATATAATAATCAAATCAGGGTATTAAGCATTTCCATCTCTTCAAACACTGCTCATTTTTATATGTTGGGAATTTTATGTACTTGTTAACATTTCCAATTCAAAGGTAAAGGCAGTGTTTTTTTGTACTGCAAAGATGTACTGTCAAATGCTCATCTTAGATTTGTAAAAATTTTATTCTGGGATAGTTGTTCTTAGTTCAAAAAATATGCCTTGAAAAGAATAGCTAGAATTTTTGAACTTTAAAAAGAAAGAACTGGCAACATACCTGCTCATCCATCATGGAACATGGAGGTGTGAAGTGTTTAGGAGAAAGAGACAAGGCTTAGTAAGGAGCCAAAAAGAGTTCCTGCGGAATGCTGTGCAGACAGGCCAGGTCATATATACCTGTGATGAGCAGTGAGACACAAATACTGTACAGTCAAGTTCTCTCTTTTTTTCTTGGTACCGAGGATCGAACTCAGGACCTTGCACTTACAAGACAGGCAGCGGGCGGTACCACTGAGCTAAATCCGCGGCCCCAGACAAGTTCTCTTGACCTGACTGAATAAACTCTAGAATAGACTTGTGCTTCCTGGGAAGCAAGGGGAATCCAGTTTTCCTTAAGGACAAGTTTATTGTTGCTGCTCATTTCTTTATGGCCCTGTGGAATAAGCTTCTTGCATGTTTAATGAATGGATTAATGAATAAATGACTTATAGAATCAGTTATTTGCATTTTAGCTTCCTTTAATATCACATTGTCCCCTTTCACTACCTCAACTATTCTGAAGTGTTTTATGTTTCTGTGGAGGAGTAATTTTTAACCGTATTTCAGACCCAGTAGCTTTCTCTTACTCCCAAGGCAAAAGAGATAGAAGGAAAGCTCTGCTGTTCCCATGAATGTTAGCCACACATTTTTGGTAGAGGAACCAGGAGTTTGGGGTGTCACGGACAATCTGACTCTCACCTTATCACCACATGTCCCTCTTTGTTGGTCTGTTTAGTTCAGTAATAACTTTCTATGGAGTAGACAAACGTTAGCCTGGGTTTACTTAATTTTGAATGTTAGGTTTCAGGCATTAAAATGTTCTGTAATTCTTTTTTTTTTTTTTTGGTACCGGGGATCAAACTCGGGTCCTTGGTCTTGCACAGCAGGCAGCGAAACCACTGAGCTAAATCCCTGGCCCTGTTCTGTAATTCTTAATGACACACGAGTAGAAATTAACACATAATTGCCTTAGTCAAACAAAGTTTAGCTTAATGATTTTAAAGGACAGTAAAAACTCTGATATGCCTCTTTACTTCATTCTAAAGGAAGAAGAAACACTTGTTAATGGTAATCAAAAATAAACATGAAAGACATTAGTGGTTATAAATATCAACTGCATTAAGTACTGGATTATGGCAAAGACCAACTGTGGTCAAGAAGAACATAGGAGGTCCTAAGTGTTGACAAAGAAGGAATCCCCATTATTGTTACCTATGACTAGAGGGAAAATATATGTTACTTCATTGATCTTAGATGTGAAGGGGAATGTGGGAAGTGAAGTCATCCTCAGTTTGTGACCAACCAGGAGTGTTTTCCAACACTCTGACAGCAATGGAGAGCACAGGATAAATCCTCATGCTTCTAGATTTCGTGGAGAAAACCTTAATTTTCCACTTTCTTTGGAAGAATTTTGAAATGAATTCCTGAGAATCATCATATGGTGGGCCTCTAATATTCTGATCTAAGCTTTTAAAATTGTTGAAAACTTAAATGAAAATGATGCCTTGTGCCGATTTTGCATTATTATATATTAATTTGCATGTCAATGAAACAAGGCATATTGTAAACTTGAGACAGGAAAATGGAGCTGACCAAGGTATTTGGGAAATCTCTGAGGAGAACTCAAATTGAGTTCATAATTTACTGCTGGAATTCTTTGAGGTAAACCAGCATCTTCTGATATGAAAAAAAATCTGTCTACAGTTTGAAAATTAATCTAATTAATGCCAAATAACAAAATTATACTGGCTAGATAACTGGTGGGAAATATGATGCATTTAACAACATTAAGACGATATAATTTTCTTACTTAACTGCAAATTGGAGGTAACACATATAAAGCATTTTAGAAACTAGAGAGGAGGTGCAATTGGCCGCTGGGTTTTCAAAGCAACACGCAACTAAGGAGGACAGTTGTTCTTATGCAGTCCTGGAGAACAGAGCAGTGCAGTTAGTGGCTTCGGTTATGGTGTTTATAATGCACAAGGTCGATCACAGCCATGCCATTGAGGCACTGTAGTCTGGGAGGGGTTGTTGAAGGGATCTACTGTTATCCAGTATTTTGTTATGGGAAGATTTCCCCCAAAGTTTCCTGTTTCCAGAATAATTGCATTACATCTGGCAGCAAGTCATGTTTTTAAGATTTGTTCATAGAAAAGGACTTTCTTTTTATAGTTGCAGACACATAAATAGCACTATTACAAAGCCTGTGGTAGTTTGATGTGAAATATTTTGGAAGACTTTGGTACATTAACTGTATAATCCCTTCTACATACATAAATAAAATTTAAAACTGGAACTAGCATCCACTGAACACCCAATAAACAGGTGGAATCTGTGATGTTGAGAGAGTTAGACCTCTGTTACCACAACAAAATGAATAACTAATGGCTTATCAGGAGGCAGATCCTATTCAAAAGAACTTGTCACCATTTGTTCATTTTCCATGCTGTTAGTTTTGAGTGCACTTCTCAGCTCTCAGAGCCATAGGAGATGCAGTATCTAACTGTAACTTTTGTTTTCTCTTTGTTCTAGAAGCCTCCCCAGCTTTCTGAGGATGGTGTCCTACTAAAAAGGGAGAGAGACAACGGTAGTGCCAGTCTCCTGGAGTCTGCTACCAGCTCTCTTCCCCCAGATCACAAAAACATGGAAATTGAGGTGTCGGTTACAGAATGTAGTAAAAGTGTTCCGGGAATAGCCTCCATCCCCCATTCCATGGACCACTCTTCCCCTTTCTATTCTCCTCCACACAATGGCCTCCTCACCCATCACCACAAATCCCTGGATAACGATGTGGCCAGAGAGATCCGATATCTAGACGAGGTGCTTGAGGCCAACATCTGTGATTCTGCTGTGGATGGAACTTACAACAACGGAACATCCTCCCCAGAGCCCTGTGCAGTAATCCCGGAGGGCAGCATAAACCCACCCACCCACGCAGTCACCTAGCCTGATCCCTCTGACAGAGTAGTGGGCAGGCAGGCTCCTCCTCACATCGAGCTCAGTAGAAGCCCCTCCAACACTATGGCAGAGGGGAGAAGGGCAAATGACCACTCCCCTGACCAGCTCCAAGATATGCTGGGGGACAGCCTGCAGGCACCAGTGAGTCCCAGCTGTTCTTCCCAAGATGGAGAATTGACACTTACCATGCTGAAGGAGGAAGCCAAGTTTGAGCTTCCTGCCTTTCACGAGGACAAGAAGGCCTCCAAGCTCTTCGAGGAGGATGAGCGTGAGAAGGAACAGTACTGCATCTAGAAAGTGAGGCCTTCAGAAGAGATGCTGGAGCTGGAGAAGGAGAGGAGGGAGCTCATCCAGAGTCAGGCTGTGAAGAAGAATCCTGGCATTGCAGCAAAATGGTGGAATCCTCCTCAGGAGAAAACCATTGAGGAGCAGCTGGATGAGGAACATCTGGAGTCACACAAAAAGTACAAGGAGTGCAAGGAGAGAAGGGCACAGCAGGAGCAGCTGCTGTTACAGCAGCAACTACAGCAGCAGCAGCAGCAGCAGCAGCCCCCAGCACAGCTCTGCACAGCCCCAGCTTCCTCTCATGAATGTCCCGTCAGTGTCAGTGGGACTGAAAATGCAAAGAAGGACATTGTCACAGAGCAGATCGACTTCTCAGCAGCACGCAAACAATTCCAGCTGATGGAGAATTCCAGGCAAGCAGTGGCCAAGGGCCAGAGTACACCTCGGCTGTTCTCTATCAAGCCTTTCTACAGGCCTCTGGGGTCCATCAACTCTGACAAGCCAGCCACCATCCTGAGACCAGCTTCCATGGTGGGACCTCCAGAAGATAGTGCGTCGATGCTCAAGGGGCAGAAAGCGCCATGTGTGCCAGAAACTCAGTCAGGTGGAGGAGGCCTAGGGACCGCCACCCCTCAGGGAAAGGAAGGGCCTTACAGTGAGCCCTCCAAACGTGGGCCCTTATCGAAACTGTGGGCAGAGGATGGAGAGTTTACGAGCGCCCGCGCTGTCCTCACTGTGGTCAAGGATGACGACCATGGGATTTTGGATCAGTTTTCAAGATCAGTCAATGTCTCTTTGACCCAAGAGGAGCTTGACTCAGGTTTGGATGAGTTGTCGGTGAGGTCCCAGGATACCACTGTCCTGGAGACCCTGTCCAACGATTTCAGCATGGACAACATCAGTGACAGTGGTGCCTCCAATGAGACAACCAATGCCCTACAGGAAAACTCACTGGCTGATTTCTCTCTGCCTCAGACTCCACAGACAGACAACCCCTCAGAGGGCCGAGAAGGGATCTCGAAGTCATTTAGTGATCATGGTTTCTATTCCCCTTCCTCTACCCTAGGCGATTCTCCATCTGTGGATGACTCTTTGGAATACCAGGCTGGTCTTCTGGTGCAGAATGCCATTCAACAAGCCATAGCCGAGCAGGTGGATAAGGCTGTGCCCCAAACCAGAGAGGATGGAGCAGAACGACAGGGACCGGAAGCAATTCTGAAGGAAACTGAAACCAGGGCTCCCAGCTCAGAGAAGCCTCAGAGCATGTTTGAGCCACCTCAGGTGTCCTCGCCTGTTCAAGAGAAAAGGGATGTATTACCAAAGAACCTACCTGCAGAGGACAAGGTGCTCAGGGAAAGGGGCCCCTCCCAGCTGCTGCCAGCTGTGCAGCCCAGCGGCCCAATCGACATGGAGGAGACCAGGCCCGAAGGAGGCTACTTCAGCAAGTACTCGGAGGCAGCTGAGCTGAGAAGCACAGCCTCCCTCCTGGCCACTCAAGACTCTGACGTGATGGTTGGGCCCTTCAAGCTGAGGTCAAGGAAGCAGCGGACTTTGTCCATGATCGAGGAGGAGATTCGAGCAGCCCAGGAGAGGGAAGAGGAGCTGAAGCGACAGAGACAAGTGCTGCAGAGCACCCCAAGCCCCAGGACCAGGAGCGCCCCGTCACTGCCCTCCAGAACCTCCTGCTACAAAACAGCCCCAGGTAAGGAAAGGCCTCGCCTCACATGGAGGAGGCGGTAACCTGCTTCCTGCTCGTGAGTCTCTGTGTGGAGCCCCACTGTGTGTGTGTGTGTGTGTGTGAGGCAGGGGGCAGTGGAGTGAGGATTCCAGCAAGAGTGTCAGTGTCCCCGGGAAGTGTGTGAACTCTGACGGTGCTTGTCACTTCCCAGCAGGTGCAGTCGTTCCTTGCTTGGCGTTCTGTCTTGGTCTTGGATCATGGCACAGAGGTGTTCTCTTCTATATGAAAAGCTGCCTCTTACTGAGGGAGAAGCTTTTTGTGGCACGACCTGTGGGAGCAGGCTCGTGCGTGTACTATGCTGGAACCAGCGGCTTGACATTCAGTGTCTGGAATTAAACCCATCTGATTTGGGGGCTGTGTTCTGGGTCCCTTCCAGGAATGGTAGTTGTGACTCAGTGTTGCAGATGGTCCCACATAAGATGTTTCTGGGACTCTTCTATGTGATTTGAGTTTGTCTCCTTGAAGTCAGCACAAACCAATTATAGTCATTTACCTCAAAACGGCATTTCGGTTGATGACAGCGTGCATATTCAATGGTGGTCCCATAAGATTACATCATAATAAGTGACATCATAGCCATCTCAGCTTGTGTAAGTACACTTGTTGATGTTTATACAGTGATGAAATTTTCTAACAGTGCGTTTCTTAGAACATGTCCCCGACTTTCAGCCAAGCATACTGTACTTTAGAATCAGCAGTGGTTTTCACCAGAGATAATTTAAGAAGTGTTGCCTTCAAGTATAATTGTTGGCATTTAACTTGGTTCACCTATATCTTAATTCCATCTTGACACTTGGCTTCCATAAAATCTACAGTGAAACAGGTTATTCTTCATTATTAGTATTTAAATTTTGAAACAATCTCAAGCCTAAAGTAAAGTTCCCAAATTGGAATTAATATGAGAAAATGAAAAAATGGAAACAAAGTCTTTGTTAATAGGAAGGGGTGGAGGGGTTGAAGGGAGGGCAGGGGAATGGGGAAAAATAAGAACCAAGATAGATTATGTAAAGGTGCAAATTTCCAATGATGAATGTCATTATATTGTATACCTAAAATGTACCAATAAAATTAATTTTAAAAAAGGAAAAGTTCTCAAGTAAAATACACATATGCTTTTATTCTGAACCATTTGAGCGTAAATTAGCAATACAGTGACCCTTCATCCTCAATTTTATAGAATGCCCTCAGTTTGGGTCTTTCTAATGTTTTCATTTGATGTCCTTCAAGTTATCTATCTTTAGTAGAAATACCACAAAATTAATGCCGATCCTCACTGTATCCACATAGGTAGACATGATACATGTCCCTATGATGGGGAAAGATATTAGCTCTGATCATTTAATATTACTTTTGTTTTCTTTTTTTTTTTTGGTACCGGGGATTGAACTCGGGTCCTTCCTTGCACTTGCAGGGCAGGCAGCGGAACCACTGAGCTAAATCCCCAGCCCCATTTTATATTATTTTTGATGATTTAATTGAGGGATTGTCTGCAAGGCTTCCACATAAAAAGCTACATTTTCCTTTTGTAGTTAATAAAAATTTGAGAGGGGAAATACTTTGGAACTATGTTGTCTTGTCAGTATGGTCTCATGGAATCCTATTACATTCAATGATTAATCATCCATTTCTTGTACTATTTTATCTTTAATTTGTCCATATATGACACATGGAACTCCTTTCAGGCTAACTTCTTTGTCCTTTTGAGATATCTCAATTATTTTTTGAGTGCTTCCTTACTTTCAGGTATCACAGAGTATTCCAGTTTCATCTCACACTTTCCTAACTCTGAAATCTGTTGTATCTCCAAAGAGCATTTGTTCCTTTTAGTGGAGAACAGCATTTAGAAACCAGTCTCTCATTCCTAGGTGTGCTCATTACTACTGGATTATCAGTGCTCTCAGGCACTTTCTATTTTTTCTTTTTTTGGTACTGGGGATCGAACTCGGGACCTTGCGCTTACAAGGCAGGCGCCAGAACCACTGAGCTAAATCCCCGGCCCCTCTGAGGCACTTTCAATGGGACTGAATTATAGACTGTATGAATCTGTCTGTGTATCTAATCTACCTAAGAAACCATGAGGTCATCCTGAGATCTTTCAATTCTAATCTAAAGTTCTAATCTAATCTAAGGTCTCCTTTTCCATATTTATAACCACCTTCTTAGTAATAGAATGCTTGGTTCCTTTTATCCTCAATATCTTTATTATTTGGCAACCTCCTGCCCCCACCATATAACCAATCTCCCGTCTTCCTTATCAAACGTGAGTGCCAAGATCACTTTCTGAGTGGTCACTGCCATCCCCTGTACCAACACCCTCCTTTCCCTACTTCGGTGCCAGGGTCCCATGGTGGGTCACCACTACCCACTGCCCACCCTGCCTTGGCTCCAGCACATACCACCGGGCCTTTGTGGCTCCTCCCACCTCGGCAGTTGGGGCCATCTTATCCAGCCTCGCATAATGACTTTTGGAATGAGTTGTGCAGGAAGGAAAGAAAAGGGGAGGAAAAGGAAGAATACAGGAACTTTCGTGATACGGTTTTAATTCCTTCCTGTCACAAGCCAAAGAAGCAGCTGAGTGTTTGAGGCAAGGAAAACTTTCAAGGAGGGTTTTTGTCCACGCTCAACAGTGGCAAGTTGGCTTTTCTCAGAGATGTTTCATTGTCAGGTGTACTGGAAACTTTTTTGTTGTAAGCTGGCTCGGCACAGAGATGTCAGCTGAGAATCGAATCCTGAAAAAAAGTCTTTGTACCTCTTGATCTCGGCCTAAACTGGAAAGCCTACTGCACAGGTAAAGGATGCTAAAGGGCCTGCGTAGGAGCCTGTAGTTTCACTGATGGAGGAAAGTCTATGGGCACCTCTGCTCACATGGAAGGCAGGTACAATGGTGTACCTATGTCTACCATTTATTTTTTATTTTTATTTTTTCATCCTGGGGATTGAACTCGGGACCTTGTGCTTGCAAAGCAGGCGGCGGAACCACTGAGCTAAATCCCCGGCTATGCCTACCACTTACAACTGGTTCTGTCTACCTAGTCCTCATACTTATGATCAAACCTTCTCCAAAGGAGACAGGAGATCAGAGTGCCAACAGACTTGATGTCTAGTGAGTACCTGCATTCTGGTTCATGGATGGCACCTTCTCTTCGTGTCCCCACATGGTGGAAGGGAAGAAGGCAGCTTGTTCTCGCTGGCCTCTTTTACAAGGGTGCTCAGATCTTGTCATCAAATGCCCTTCCAAAGGCTCCCACTTCCTATCATCATCACCTTCATAATTAGGCTCCAGCATGTGAACTGAGGGGAGGGAGAAAGAAGACCTGTATTCAGATAACTGTATAGCAGAAGATATTTTTGATTTTCTCTACTAACTTTCTTAGTGGAATCCTTCACCATACTGGCCCCAGCTATACTTCTAGCACATAAACAACAGTCTACTAGAAGGACATTTGATACCTTCCCCTAGTTTCCCTATATGCTGTTGTCTGTCTGGCTTCCCCACCAGATTTAAGATTGCCTCAAAAGGAGCCAGAGTCCCACTGTTTGCTCCTGGCATCCCGCAATGTAGTACCAATTTCTCAGAACTTCTTTTTTTTTCAGAAAGTACTTGTTTTATTTTATTATTTTTTTTCTGGTACCGGGGATTGAACTCAAGACCTTGCAGTTGCGAGGCAGGTGGTGGAACCACTGAGCTAAATCCCCCACTCTCAGAACTTCTTTCTGTGCTAATGCTGTCCTCCTTTCCCTTATCCCACCCAGAAGAATGACTTTTCCTCTACAATATTTAAGATGCCATGAATTCCCAGATTTATGGCATGAATAGAAAGAAACTGAGTACAGAATGCTATTTTCTATCTGTCCATGCCTGGAAACCTTTGGAGTATTGCTTGGCCGGCCAGCCTCCAAGTTCATGATCAAGGAGAAAGCTGACATGTTGCTCTGAGGGAGCCAAGCTGAACAATTCCTGGCCAGGGCCAGAACTGCTGGCTCCAACTTTGGTTTTGTGAATGAGGTATTGCTAAGTCCCTGCTGCACAACTTTGAATTTCCTGCCAGAAGAAATGATTCAGCTGATTTGTTGTTGTGACTCAGATTGACAGTTTGATATTACATGATGCAAAAGATAATTTCTGATATCTTTTCTGGTAGAAATCATGCTGGTGACATCCTGGAATCCTAAAACCTTCAGGCAGATATAATCCACTGAAAGAAAGAAGTGATAAGAGAGGAGAGATGTCATAATTCTTCCCATTGATAAGATATCTAGACATATAACCTGTTCCCTGGGAGTTGCAAAGATATTTGGTTTTGCTTTTAGGTTTTTTTCCCCATTAAAAATGAAATGATAAGGGTTCTCTTTTGAAAATGATATGGTCATTTTCAAATACCCATTATCTGAAAATTCTGCCGTCTTAGTTCTCCCATGACTTTTGAAGAAAGAAGTTCCACTTAGAATTTGAGTGACATTCGTTTGTATAGAGGTGAAAGAGTACAGTCTCTGTGAAACAGTATCGAGAAACATGGTGATTTTATGACAGAAACATGGAGACCTTCAAGAGCACTAAATAGGAAGACCACCTTATTTATAGGACAAGGGAAATCTTTTCTTCTTGAGAAACAACCATCTAAACTGTGATCTGGAGGAGAAGTTAGGCTGAGGGTGTGGAGCACATGGTACCAGTTGGGAAGGAGACCTAGAGAGGGTCAAGAGGAACAGAGAACTTAGTGTACTTGAGGCATTTAAAAAGGCCAGTGTAGCTGAAATGAAGAAATTTAAACAAAACAAAAAGTGGTTTGGAATCTGACAACAAAGAGCTATATCAATCATATTATGGGTTTTCAACTTTAGACTTTACCCTGTGGTCAGTTGGGCACCCACTGAGAGCTTTCCTAAGGCTAATTTTCTTTACACATTTCTGAGCTGTCCTGCCTTCATCCACGAATTGATAGCCTAAAAGTCTTCTTGCTTTA